TTACTTCTAAAGAAGGTTCTTTATTGCAACTTCATTTGCCTTCATTACAACTTCATGTTGGCTATTATTCAACTTTGTATTTTTTGTTTATCTTTTTTTTTTTTTTTTTTTTTGTTTTTTGAATTAGCAGTTAAACATGATCATGTTATGTGAACTTCTAAACATCTTGGCAAGTCTTAATAAACTCTTGAAATATTATTAAATTTTTATATTTGTGTATTTTTTGGATATCCATTAGACAAAATTTATTTAAACCAAAAATATACTTGACGTTGGCAAAGCCAATGGATTTAATCAATTATACAACTAAAAAATTTAAAAGTGAAGTAACCTCTTGTATTAATATTTTTGCTTCATCAATATTGCAGATAAGACAGGGTGTAAAAATTATATTTTTTTTTGCACCAAGAAAAAAATATAATTTTATAATTTTAATTAAACATTTTGGAATCAAGTACAAAATACAAAATATTATTCGTAATACAAAAATCTTCATTTTTTTTTTTTATAATAGCTTAATTCACTTCGTTTCTCTCTCCTCTTCCTTTCTCCTCTAACATCTCTAAATCCTTTCATTGATATATTAGTATATAAGAATATTAGAGTTATGCTATTCAAAGCTTTTTTATAATTTTCTTCTTTTTTCTCTTTTTTAGAAAATCATACAGGCTAATAAGACTAAAATCCCTCATATCTTTCATTGTTTATAAGACCAGCTTTTCTACTAGTGCATAAATAGTACTTGCTTTGATCTCGGCCTTGAAAGCTCTTGTCTTCCTAAATACCTAGATTAGATCTAATAGTAACTATTCTTTTAGGATATTACTTTTTTCACCCTTCTTTGATAATTGAATGAAGACTTGACGCAGTTTATTACAAAGCTTCTCAACATCAATAATTTATAAGCCTGATTTATTATTAGAATTGATATTAGAATGACTATAGGAAAAGCCATTGTAATCTTCTTTAGTATTAATAATTGACATATTGTGCCTATTATAGTATCCACTTATTGATCATAGAATCATGCAATGATATCTTTTATAAAATTAGGATGCATCATCAAAAAAATCTTTACTTGGTACTTGTAAATATTTTTTTGCTAAGCCCAAACATAATTACAACCAATCCATTATTTACCAAGATTGTATACAATATATTAAATATGACAATTTTGTGTAGAAGTAATAAATACATAGTCTGTTAAAGAAGTTGATAATGTCACATTCATGTCAGGGATTTCACAAGCCTTTATTAGTGAAGAAATAATAGTATTTGGCATCTTCTTCTTATCAATAAAATTATTTTTTTCTACCTTGACTTGTATCAATAATAATCAAGTATATCTATTTTTAGCATATATATGTACCAATCAATCTTTTTTCTTACCATCCTACTCTACTCAGACTTCAAAATTAATTTCATAAAGCCATGGTATCCTTTGATGGCTGCATTGGTGTCTTATCCAACATATTGCAAATTATGGTAACTAATTGTCCATATGTGCACTTTGTTTAATTATTTTTGCTCCATGTACTTCCAAAAATTTAATTCTTGTAGATACATTTTTTATAGATTGTTTAATTTCTTCATTGCCCATATTTAAGAGTCACAGTTAGAAGGGGAGATTTTATCATACATCATAATACTCAATTTTCTTAGTATCTCACCCCGTCAACTTATATCTACAATCTTACAATAAAAATTCTTCTACACTGCATGACAAACGTTCAAAGGGCAAAGAAAAATAATACTTTTTGACTAAGTAGATTTGCAGATACAAATGTAGAAGATCAAAAAAGTGTTGTAGCAACACTATGATACTAAAACACTATAACATTGTGATACATTGAATACAGTCACATGAAAGAAAAAAAAAATGCTAGAGACCATGTTGAAAGACAATGTAAAATAAAAGTACTTACTGCAAGGCATTAATCTCTTCTTGTATGTAATCAACTACAAAGGCTATTGGTTTCCAACCTGGACATTGTATTAGCATCTAGTAATTCAAGGCGTGCAGATTGATGAATATAAATGCTACCAAGATCCTATTGTGCCACTTGTCAAATGTTATGAAGGTATACATAGAGAATTATAATTCAAAATTGCAACATATATAGAATTTATTGTCACCCCAATTTTGTAAATTCAATATTGTAATATAAATATGATAAGTTATCTTAAAAGTTATGCTTACGTTTTTCTGGTCGATACCAAAGGTGGCATCAATGGATACACCACCTCTATTATTATGCTTAGCTATCATATGTTGTTGCCACAGTGTTTGGATGTCAATGGTAAATGGCATGTTCTCACCATCTAACCTACCTACAACTTGCATCAGCTTAGCTAAATTTGTTTCAGTATACTAGAAAATACTATCCTTATTTTTGTAAACCTACATCCACATACTTTGTTTATCATTCTTATTAAGCATGTAAATTTCCCTTACTAATTTCTTGAACAATTTTCTAACATTTTTTTGTCATTATTAGCATGTCTCTTGTAATTTCCTTTTCATTTGCCATCCATTGCTTTAATTGTCTTATGTGTTTTGCATTATCTAGGCTATAGTGTCTCTTCAAGGAAGGCAATCATTTATGAACTCTTTCATAACCAGAGACAAGTGGGTTGAGAAGGAACTTAGTTGGTTATTTTGTACTTCCACATAAATTACAAGACCATCGTTGTTAACATGGTTTGGTTGGATGACACATAATTGGGCTACATGGAAGAAGTCCTTCAAAATCTTTACGGTGAATTGTGAAAGGCAGTCCCTTGTAATGGACAATCCCCATTTTTTCTTTGAATCTCTAGTCTAGTTCTTAGAGATTTGTCCTACATGTTTGAGCTTAAAGGTAGGGTCTGAAGGGGTCGTGGACTTCTCGTATTCTTTGGATGCAAGTAATACGTCCGATGCTGCATTACACTCTCCCTCTCCATCGGCATTGGCCATTCCCAAGTTTGTGACACAGCAGTCAGTGACACTCGGATCAGTGAAACTGGGGTCACTAACATTGTTGACCTATGACAGAATAAACTTGGGAGGAGTGACATTCAAATTATGGATCCCTTCATCTTGGACACTTCTTTCGCTTTTTAGCTAGTTCTTTCCAACAAGTTTTTGCTTTGTTGAAGTTATTCCGCGCTTTTCTTCAGGGGCGCAGCTTCCACCACCTTTGCAACTACAAAGCCAACCTTCTGCTTTCGGTGATGCTTCCGATGCAAATCCGATGTGATTTCTTTCACAGGTCCAGAGTAATTCTTGGGGCCGTAGAGTGATGAAAACATTGAAAACCTGCAAAAGGTGTAGGGAGAATGTTCTACCTCCAAAAGTGCAGCGCAATTCTAAATCCGTGTTTCATTTCTTCATTGCGCCTGCAGAATTCAATTCCACGTTAATAAACACATTACACACCCTCCTTACCATTCTGCATGCCGTTGATGAAATCATCCCCGTACGCTGGGAATGTAACATTCTTGAACAATGTGATGTTTTCGGTGCATTCCCCTAGGAGCGCGTTGTCCAAACACCCAGTTTAAAGCACCTCGTCCAAACGGTCTGAGGGGGATTTTGTACAGATTGTTCGATTGTGAATCAAAGGTCCACATTGTAGTCTATCAAAGTCCGGATTATGAACGCAGCCATACAGTTCCTCATTGCCGTCAACATCCTCATTGATATCAACGGCAGCAAGAGGCAAGGGAATGGTCATGATTGCTTACCGGAATTGATTGTCTTTACACAGTCTACCAATAGATTCTTGCAAGAGACTCTCCTCGACAGTGTCACGACCTATATGAGCGTCAGCTTCCGCCTCATTTTTGAAGTCAATAGACGCCAAATAAAAATACATGCTAATAGAGAAAGCAAGACACTCACAACATTTTATACGCACAATTGTTGATAAATAGAGATAACAACCCTCACAACTACGACGAAGACCTCAGTCAGTCAAGCTGGTCTCAACAAACACACCGGTCCTCATCACATCAATCAAAACATTGAATTTAATTCAACAGGTAGTGAGAAAACAACTGCACCTCGTTTGTGCTGCAATGTTTTCAATTCCAGGACACGGTATCTACTCATATTTGCGTCTCGAACGCCTTTGAGACAAAAGCACGGTATGAAGAAACTATACCTGGTCTAAATTCTTAGAATCCATAAATCCTTACAGTACTCAAGCTTCGTTGTGTGTTTGACCGTGGAGGCGGAAACCAAGACTCTGAGAAAACGTTGTCATACCGGAGCTGGTGAGGATTCTGCAAGAGGTCTGGTGTAATATGTACAACAAAAAAATTGAAACCATAATGGAGAAATTCCATTCGAAACCCAAAACCCCCGCAATTGCAACCATTTGATACGAAAATCCCAAACCCCACCAAGGTATCATAAAACGAGAGAGAACATCGCATAGGATCTTGGTGCGTCCTACACTAGTGTGCATGGCCAAGGGATGACATGCATCCGCAGTGTCTCGGTCGCCCGGTCATCGTGACACAGCCAGTGTTTACGAAAGGGAGGGTTACCAGGGTGAAAACGCTAGTCGCAGCGGCAGTCCAGCGTGGCAGCCACGACCGCGTCCTAGCCGCTAACGAGCTATCGTAGATCGAACTAGAGAACAAATGGCGTTCTCCGCCTGATGGATTTCCCTACCCGTCTACTGATCAAATATCTTTTCATAGTACATCGGATCGAAATGAGATTTTCCGAAAAGGTGCCGTGTAAACATATGGAAACAGTTTGACATGTTCGTAGACTCGTTTTTGGACCTTACCTACAGAAGTTTTCTTCAAGGTATTAATGTTTCACCTACATTGTTTAATTGCAATAGGATGATATTATCATCAGGACCTCAATTTCAAGGATGATATCATGATTGACAGTTGAGCCTAAGACCGGTTGGTTATCAGCTAAAAGACTAAGAATTAATGTCATTAAAGAAAGGTCCAGTGTAGACTTGTGCATTTGAACAAATGACTTGTAAAACGCATTAGATGAAAATAGATCGAATCTTTTAGATACGGTAAAAGACAACGATCAAGTTAAAAATTACACTCACAGAGGTGTAATTCATTTGTAAAAATATTACAATTAAAATCTATGAGAGGGAAAAACACAATCTTTAGTACGAAGTGTAGACAAAAATTGCCTGCTTCGATTTTACTTCTTTATTTTGCTAACAAAGAGTAGCTTCTTGGTATGACTGCACTGGATTTCAAACTGCACTGGATTCTCAGACTGCACTGGCGGCGGCCGACCGTTTCTCCAAATGATTAATTTCCTGGTCAACGGGAACAGTGCGTTTATCACCATCATCGTTCTGTTCATTAGGTTCCAGTGCAACAACCTCACTCAAACCTGTAAAACATACCGATTCGTTAATTTATAAAAAAAAGACGATGTAAACGTAAACAGAGAATCAGTATTTTCATATGTTGCTTTCTCACCAAGGCATATGCCTTCCAGGTTCTTAACAAGCAAACAAAATGTTCACCTGGAACAACTTCCTCGTTCGAAGACTTCTTGTTTCTTCCACGACAACACCCAGTGAGGTTGGGCTGGAACTGCTTTTTCGGAACGGGCACAAACTTGGAGATGAATGCAACAGGCCAGCTGTGACAGCAGCATACGAGGCACGGTCAACATTCAGCAATTCACATACACAGCATTTAACTGAAGAAAGCATGCAGAACTGAACTCCAACATACCTTATGAAGCCAATCGCAATACAGAAACCCCACCATTTAGCATTAAGCTTCGTTGTTTGGGCAAATTTGTTCAAAAACTGCACGATCACAAACTGCGAACAGAAAAGTCCAAGACTTGTAAAGAGCTTGCTGGATGATGCATACAATACATAAGCTCAAGAAACGGAACCAACGAAACAACTTGTGTGTGTGGCTCTTTCGACACCGATAGAATCTGATCATCATACGATTGCATTCCATTGTAATCAACCAAACCGGTAAACTCACCTGGAGAATCACTTCAATGAGAATAATGCCAAGGAAGAGATAATTCTTGTGAATGCCTTCGAAAATATTAAATTTGTCAGGTCTCCTTGCGTTGATTTCGTTAAAGATCTGACAAAGGAAGAAGCACGAAAAAATAGTTAGCATTTCAGACAGGTCCCACCATTCTAATATTCGTGGGAATAATCCTCACTTCGAACTTGGTCAAATCCTTCAGAACCATAAACGCCACGTGATGTTCCACCAGTCAACTGGTACAAGTATGCACTGGCCTACAAAGACTTCACTATTAACTTAAACGGAACACTGTACATCTCACCTGGCAAAATACGAAGGAATTGAAGATAATCGTGGTTCTTAACAAGTCCCTTTCTTTATCGGGTCCAGTAAGACCTAAGATTTTGTTCCCCGCAAAATTCAAGGTCAAAAGAACCACTACTTGGAAGATGGCCTGCCAAATATTTGACGATAAGGATTTGTAGAAATGAAGAAACCAACAGAAAGCGAACTTTCACGACAGCACACGCCACACATTTAGAAATAATGGTGTGATGTTCAGAAAAAGAACAATACCTGCGCAAATATATTTCTCCACATAATGTTGGAGATCAATGGCTCCCTGCACGAACCACGCATAATCAGAAGGGACCACTCAATCCATAGAAAGAAAGGAACAGAACAGAAAAATATTCACCAATGTGAGCTTCAATGCGATATGAGAATTCAAGAAAACGTAAACGAATACGATCGGGCTTAGAAACAAGTTCCTCACGTTCTTCCAACTGGTTTCCGATCCATAAGATCATCTGTAGGTGGCTCAGTAGCAAGTGCAAGTGCTCCCAAAGTGTCCATGATCAAATTGACCCATAACAACTACCAGCACAACATGAGCACATCAGTAACCTTAAGTTATGTAATGCAAAATCTCATGACGCCATAACAGTTAAATGATTAAGGTTCTCGCCGACACTACACTGTTACTAAATTTCCCATATTAAAAAGATTAAGGTACAAACCTGCACTGCGGTCAGAGGGACCTCTCCAGTGGAAATTGATGCGACAAAATTGATGGTAAGAGCCGTAACATTGACAGTCAGTTGAAATTGTATGAACTTCTGAATGTTGGCATAGACGGATCGTCCCCAGCGCACAACCTAGCGATCAGAACAGAAACGTCAGACATAAGTACATCCCCAGAGAAAACCTACTAACTATTAACTAAAAAGTAAGTACCTTCACTAACGGACGTGCAAAGTATACAACGGCTATGCGATTGGGTTACAAAGCTGAACATGAGGAACTCTAGATTAGAGGAATGACTGATCGAATCGAACCTTAACAACAGAAGTGAAATTGTCATCGAGGATAATGATGTCCGAACTTTCTTTCGCGACTTCCGTTCCTGCTATACCCATTGAAAGACCAATGTCGGCCTGCAGTGCCAATAATGTACCATCAGCCTCGTGACCTCGACAGAAAATTAAACTGTGACATACACATCACGCCAAAACCGTTGAAAGAAAGTATCAATAGGTAGCCTTTTACCTCATGCAACGCGGGTGCGTCGTTAGTTCCATCACCAGTCACAGCCACGACATTCGATCTTTGCTTCAATGCCTTCACCAGCTTGAGCTTATCAGTAGGAGACGACCTAGCCATTACCTGGAGAAAATAGAATGAAACTTCAACATAAGGTCAACAAGCACACAGTTATTCAATGATAATAAGAGCAACGGACACAGATTTCACTCATACATTCACAAAGGAATCTAATTCTTTAGTAAGTTTACATTGATGTACAATGGAATAATGTAAAACCAGCTGAAATACTAGTCATAACAAGCAAGAAGTCTGAAAGGAATCCTTACTACAAGCTTTTCAATATCTCTATCGATGCGCGCTTCATCCCATGTTCTAAAATCAGGTCCCTCGACTACAAGACCACCTTCTGTGAGAATACCACATTCTTGTGCAATTGCCTTGGCTGTGAACTTGTTATCACCTGTAACCATTCGAACCTGTTCAAGTTTCAAGCACACACAAAAAGACCTCGGTTAATAACTGGACCCACGATCTCTCTGACTCAAGTGTCACGAGGATACAAAATAAAATTCATTGATCAAAGTCTGTTCACCTTCACTCCAGCCTTTTGACATCTTTCAACAGCGTCCCGCACGCCTGGTCTGCAAGGATCCTGCAGAGGAGACGAAGACTTGAGTATCCACCACAAAAATTCAAGCACTTTTCCGCGTTCAATTGCGTTAACGTTCATTCAAAATTTCACTTCTTTGTATTCCTATCCGACGTCCTAAGGCAACCTCTTGCAATACATCCAGATTGACCCAAAGAATTACTAATGCAAGAACTACAGTTTTTAGACATTTCTACCTCGAGTTCCAAAGATAAATTGAAGAAGTTCGAATGGGAAAGAGGTTAATTAAGAAAAGGGATATAATATTCAAATTTTGAGGCCAATAGATGTAAAACAACCCAATTCGTTACACAAGACAAAAACCCATAGAACTTAAAATCTATAGTAGTCCATTGACTCGTTTGAAGCCTTAAAACTTTATTTCTGCCCTAATAATTAATGTTCTTAACTTAGAACATCATGGAATATAAAAAGTTCGTATTCTAAAATAGCGCACAGTTTTTTTCTGTGCACGTCTTTCAATTTTACACCAAGGATTGATAAATAGTTGCTTTCTACAATACTTTTCTCCTCAAATATTCTGGGTTCCGTACTTTTTACCTATGGATGCTCTGGATTAGAAGATATATTTTAAGATGACCAGATAGGGGCCACAAAAGGCGTAAGAAGGTTCAGATCTGGAAGTGCAAGTGCCTAAAGTATAACAGTTCAGAATCAATCATTGCAACCTGCCAAACAAAGGCACACACCTTGATACCACAAATGGCCATAAAAATAAGGTCTTCATCTGGCTGATTCCATTCGTAGCTGGACTCTTCATTACTTGGAACATCAGAACCATCAATTGGTCGGTAAGCGAATGCAATGCATCGAAGTGATTGGGCCGCCATCCCCTCAATCACTCTCTTCAACTCTTCGTTCTGCATTGCATCACAACCAAACTCAACTTTCAGAATTCGTTGACCACAAAAAGTGGTTGACTGATGCGCATGAACGAATGCCCTGCACGAGAACCCGGAACTTTCAGATTAGTTCCGGGATTTTGCGAGAAAGACATCTTTCTCATGAAAATTGGTATTTCCGGTCTAAATAACTGGGTCATATATTAGATCCACGCTGTACCTTCTCAGGAGTCATCGTTTGAACTTCTCCATGCTCATTAACAAATTTAGAGCACAAACTGAGGATAATCTCGGCAGCCCCCTTCCAGTGAGCTTCCACGACACCTTGATCATTCTGTCGAACACAAATAGAAACCAAACGATGACAGATAGTTAAGTCCAATTCAACGAAGGGGAATCGTGAAGGGCCAATAAATATAGATAACACCCAAAGCGAGAATCTTCAGAATTAAGAATTAATCAGATTGAAGGAAGAGCTAAGCAACATCTGCGCGAATTGAAAAAGCTGCAGAAGATTATAACAAGGAAGATGCCCCTCAAACGAGCCGAACCTTAAAAACCACTCCAGCACGTTTTTTGGTGGAATTGAAAGTCTCCACATGCAGAATAGTGGTCGCATGACGCAACTTCTTGAACTCCATTCCGAGCTTTATCAAGAGAGTAAATCAGTTCATACAAAATCAGAAAAACTATGTGAGCAAAGAATTCAATAAAACAAGCTAACAAAATCCAATACTAATGGTAAGAAAAGTTTCAGAACGTATCACATGTTCCAGAATATGCAGTTAATGACACCCGGCAGCCGGCGCAACAGATATCACACCTTCAGTCCCCATCCCAGACAAGCAGATTCAGTTGGACTACCAGATACCACTGGTTCTGTTCCCTCCTGTCAAAAGCAAGTTTGGGTGTGAAATGTGAATTAGATGCTCATCGCCGAAGAAAACTTTCAACATCCAGAGCTACCGAAAGTTACGGGGGTTTAAGGAGAAACCAATAATCGTTCTTTATCAAACCAACATTTAAAGTGGACATTGTCATTGTAATGCATTAGAAAGTACAAGTCCTTCACCGTGATTTGTTAAACGCATATTTAAAAGATATTGCAACACGAAAAGGCATGATAACGCATACACGCAATCAGACCTTAGGAGGAGCAACTGTCCCAGTACTATTGAGACAAATCGAGTGAATAAGAGTCTGACGCAAACTTTCTGGCACACCATCTGCGCTAGCTGCATTATTCTCCGCATTCGCCACCCACGCTCTGACGGCGGTCATCTGCAGTTGTGTCATCAAACGGCAATCCTCAATTTCAATACGTCCAAGAAAAAACTACCTAAAAATTAAAATAACCAAGTGACATATGGCCAATAAATGATCAAACATAAGTAGATAACGATCGTGTAAAGAAATTAGCAATTTACCTTGTTAGTGGTGAGTGTTCCAGTCTTATCACTACAGATAGTTGTAGCGGATCCCATGGTCTCGCAGGCTGATAGGTGCCGCACCTAGCAAAAGAAACCAAATAATTCAATAGCCCGTAAGACAAGTACCACACATCAACTTCACAGTTTCAGAAAGAATGAGAATATAGTAATGTTTTCCACTTTTGAACTGAAGGCCTAAAACCGCAACTCATTTCATCCTTATGCTGTCACGTCTAACCATACCAGAGATTTGTCAGCCATCATCTTGCGCATAGAATACGCTAACCTGTTTTGAAACGTGTTCAAAAAAACATTAGACTTCATTTTGAATACAAATTGACTGATACAAGTAACAGCTACTCAGATTCAAAGTTACACTATCATTGATTAGAGGGACTCGAAAGTGTCCCTACGTGAGCGTGACGGCCAATGGAAGTCCCTCAGGCACAGCAACCACCACAATAACAACCTGAAAGAAAATACAGCGCGTCACGTAGGTTACTTCAACTTCTTTCCCACGTAAGGAGTTGCCAGTAAGAGACCGGGATCTGAAATGACTACCTACATGGCTATTTGAAAACAAACAATATAGTATTTCTAACCTGATTCTACACAAAGTTTTTAAAATTCACCAGAAAAATACAATAGCAGTCTAATTACCGCAATTGAAAAAATCTCAACAATGTGTGTGAGTATGTTGGAAGATTTCCTATTTTCTGGCTGCTTGAAATCTATAGTGAAGAATCTGGAGGCCATGTCACCGAAAAAATTTAGTTACCCTATGCAAGAATTTTGAGAAGACAATAATAAATAAAATAGAATAAAATAAAACTAATATGTACTACATGTATATTGCACGATCTATTTCAACCTCAACTGCACCATGCGATCAATTCTGTCATCTAAGGAAATGGTGGAAGAGCACAGTAGCATATCTGACCATCAGAGTAGAGAAAGATGTAAAGACGCAGAGTTAAGTCCATTACCGGATAATTAAAATGATGAAAACAACGCCTGCTACTGTTAGACCTACTTTACCAATGAAGGTTGCAACCCCGTTCAGACGAACCTGCACATTCCCAATATAATCGACCAGTTAACAGATTGAAATGGCAGCCATTCAAGTTCATCACACTCAAATCCAGAGGATTTTATCACTGGCCAATCTGGTACCTGCAAGGGTGTCTCTTCTCCATTATCCTCACTGACTGAGGCCATAACCTGACCCCACTCAGTGTTCACACCAACTCCAGTTACCTGCACAGAGGAAACTTCGAAAATTAGAAAAAAACTTAAGAATGCACGATATAGGCAGGTATTTCAATGCAATTCGAAAACATAATTGTTGGTGCGCTCTAAAACAGTTGTTACATAGTATAGGCTTACCAGCATCAGCCCCTGCCCATCTAGAACCTTACATCCTGATAACAGATATGGCCTTTTACTATCCTTTTTCACCTGATTGATCAATAGAGCAAAAAATGTTAGCAGATAACAGCAGTCATTGTATCCGGACAAATGCATGACCACTCGTATTGATTTTAAACTTTTAATTGTTTGACCAATATCATGTTAACGGACTTACTGGTTCGCTTTCTCCAGTCATGGTGGACTCATCTATAGATAAAGAGTGACCTTCAATCAAAACGCCGTCAGCAGGAACCTGTAAGAAACCCGAAAATCAGCACAGTCCAGTAATCGCTAGACTCATTTAAAATAATTATGGATCGCTGCGTATGTATTAGACATTAGAAGGAGTATTCGTCCCGCTACCTGACAGACAAAACTCAAGTGCCGTGTGATTCTGCAATACAGATACTTGTTCACGCACGTGCGATTGCTGCATGGCAATAGGATATAGACTAGAGCAACTTCAAATGCAAATTTACAATAAAACCCTTCATAAGCTAATGTAAACGGCTTAGTACCTGCCCACCAATAGATAAAGGAATAACATCCCCAACAACGATATCCCAGATAGATATTTGCTTCCGTTCACCTCCTCTTACCACCTGCAGGGCCAAAAATGAATAGATTAGCCATAGACATATTAGTTGCAACACACATCGCTGCATGAGATAACAATATAGACATGTACGAAATGAACGCCATCTGTGAATCTCACGATTCAGTTATGCGGTCCAAAAGAAAACGCAAATGGTAAGAGAAACTTACATCCAGATGAATATTTTCCTTTTCTTCATTAAGGTTTCTAAACTGCAACGACTGCTTGTAATCACTACCAGCTGTTCCACAAGGACAAACAACAATTAGAATCCTCTACAAGCAAGCACATACACAGAACTCTTCCTGCGTGCACCTTGAGGTTAATCTAGAACTTGCCACAACCTCACTCACTAATGACCGATCAACCAATGATTCAAATTACAACAATCCACTCAGACGAAGATCTCTATTATTGTCTTGACCAAAATAACCCATGCAGAGTGGTGAAACTAATAAAGAACTGAGATGGATCTTACAATCGCATTACCCACTACCTCACAGCTGTGCGAAAGCAAATGTTAATTGATGATCATGGACACCAAAGTACTCTACTCGCAATTGGAGACTGCAATGTGATTGCGGAAGTACAGCAGACATGATTTGAAGATCTTGGAACTCATCCTCCACAACTTTGAAAATCGAACGTATCAGCAATTACAAATCGGCTTACCAGTAGTTACAATTACTAGCAAGACTGCAACCAAAATGGCTGTTCCATCATACCAGCCCGTCTTAACGCCCTGAGCATGACAAATATTTAGTGAGGTGATCGGTCTATAACAATACATGTAATGAATCGTTCAAAGATGATGTAAATATACCACGTGTTATACCTGGCTCCACATCTCGGCACCCAATGAAACGATCGCTGCGACTATAAGGATAATAAGAGTTGTGTCTTGCATCGCCTCCCACACAAAGTGCTGTCAAGCAATCAACAGTCACAACCACAAACTCCGCCAAAACAAATGATGAACATCAAGAAAAGATGGTCACATCGGCGTATCCGTCACAGTCATGCAAATTGAGACCGAAAGCGGCAGTACAATCTCATGCCAATGCCTGCAACACCTAACAACACCCTGTTTGAGTTTGCATGTTGAACTTCGAAGCTGTAAGGACAACTATACGTACCAAGAGACCCTTGGGTTTCTTTTTTGGATATGTATTTGACCCATATGCATCCTTCCTCCTTTGAATCTCCTCGGGTTTATCTTTAACACCATCTTCTAAGTTTGTATCCAGTTTACCACCAAGACCATGAATCTGCATTTAACCATTCGCCTCAATTCAAAACATGCCAGAATACAGTGCAGGTCAACACGACGGTTTCCGACTCCGTCATTGTAAATTACAGCATGTTGATCAAGTAAGTCCCGATGATCCTGGAAAACTTCTCACTTCAAAACGGTTCATTGGGACTCACCCCTCCAAGTTTTTCAAGATCTGAGACTTTCCGGTCTTGGAGCATGTGTACCAATGTTTTAGGGCCAACTTGGAATCCTTCAGGAGGTTCATCTACAGCGTCAAAACTCAAGACTATTAGTAGCTTCAGATCGATATATCAATCTATCCATCTATCTATCCTCATGCGCGTGTGCATGTGGATAATCCAGACGATTGTCAAATTGGATTTTGGTGCAACATTCAAGAAGAATACTTTAACAATAGAGTAAAGCAGCTCACCTTGCTCTGCCCCTCGCCCGGCCTTTTTGAACCTTTCCACAGCCTGCACAATACACGGCGCACGAATTTATACAACCTTTCAATGGGTTTTAACAGAAATAACAAAACGATAAAGTTCAGATAGTCTTACTGATTTCCAGTTAAATCGAAGTGAAAAAAACCTTACTGGTCCAGAATTCAACACATTCTCATAAAACCCATAAATCCAACTCATTACGGCTGCTTGGATCGTAATTACCAACGCGAGTGGATGTATACACTTGACATGAAGAACAACTGCCGGTACATGAAAAATTACAATGCATGTTCATGTAGCAGTTCCAGTTGGCAAACAATCCGAAAAAAGAAAGCTACTTCAATTGACTCAGACGTGGCTATTACATCTGAAGTAGTCCACTTTCAGACAACTACCAAACAACATTCCCGGCTCACTTAAGTGCACGTATGCGATGAAAATATTGATCACTTAAATAATTTTGTTTCATACTTACCAAAATGACATCAGTACCGGCCCTTAATCTAGAAGCAGGATCCTTTTTCAATTTCTGTTGTTCTTCAAATTTCTTGATATCCAGTGTGTACCGAAATCGACGAGCAGCATTTACAGTGAAGGTCACTTTCTGTATTCGGAAAAACCACAGTGAGATTCATAGCTCCAAACAAACTCAACAGTCAGATCAACTATGATTAATTGCAAAAGTTTCAAGTGAGAAACTGTAGGTACAAATGATCTCTTCGTGGCCTAATGACCATACGTTACACTAATCTGAAGTGCTCGACGTGAAACTCTGGAGTAGGTGGGACAATCAGACGTATACAACTACTACAGAGGCCAAAATACCGCTATAATATTCAGTGTTAAGATCCACAAGGGCAGGTGTTAGATTTTCAAGCATACTGAACGGAGTGCAATCTCGACAAAAATTATCTATCACTACTGGGAAACGTTAACATCAAGTTCATACCCGCCATTCCTTTAGTCTGTCGATGGACCCTTTAGGTTCGATTATAAAGGGGTTGTGACTGCGGTGAGAGTCTTCTGCGTCACCATCTTCTTTAGAATGGCTTTTGTCGCCACTTTCATGGAAAGAGTTCATCCTATTCCCACTCGTCGAATTCTCGGTTTTAATTTAAGGAGTAGCGAGATCACACCAACCCTTCTCACAGCAATACTGTCACTGCTCGCCTTTCACCACGGAAGAAAAAGCTGAACTTGGTGCCCACATGTAGATGCATTTCTGCGCACAAAAAAAAATATAGAACTAAGCAGGCAGCTGCTTTCGATAATATTGTCGACAAAGGCAACAATGATTAACTTCGATGTGACAGGTCGATTGAAAACCATTAGAGTGAGTAACATTCACTTGTGGCTTCACAGAAATCGTTGAGTGCGGACAAGTACTAATCAAGACCAACGGTATATGACATGACAAAATCTCGAACAGGTATTTTCCAAATTGGAGAGGCAACATCGTTGGCAACCGCTCTACATGCTGCAATGATACGATGGCACCAGAACGCTCTGGAAAAAGAAATCCGTGCATGCCGTGTCGGATAGTTCAACGAAGAAATCCGCATCTTTTTGCATCTCTTAAAGAATTTTTAAAAGTGAAAAATAAAAATTGCTACTTAGAACTGGGGGGGGGGGGTGTGCAGAGGCCAACAATGCGAAACCACGCATAAATGATTCTTAACTATATACATTCGCTGCGCTAAACCTCCCGACAATCTTAGACCCCTCCGTGTCCCTGCTCCAATACATCGACAACTCGAGCCCCTACGCAACTACGAGATTATCAAATCATTTGCCTCGGCTACCTAAACCAAGCCACAGGAGGTCTAGAACATTGAAAGTCTGCACCGAACTTCATACAATCTCCCTGTAACGTCCTTGATAGGGCATCGCAAATGAAAACCAACTAAGGCGCCGATGCTCTTGATAATACCTGTCAGCACCTCATGGGGCCCCCGTCCGTCCCGCGGAAGAAATCCGAGCCATATTGGTGAAGCAACCTCAAGGAAGGTGGAAGAGGCTTGTAGCAGGAACCAGTCAGATGCCACAGAAGACCGAACCTGTCCAACAAAGAAGATCGGCTAAAAAGACCTGCGCAAACAAGATGAGACGACACGAAGCTATCACTCACTCTCTTTTTCTCTCTCTATCTGCATGCGGGAAACTCACCCAACTTAGGCTGTGCCTGAGAGCGCGAAGGGAGGGAGAGGAAAGAGACTCGGGGTAAGGGTGAGATCGAATGAATGAGAGGGTGAGTGCGCGTCAATAGGGGAACCTTGCAGACTGGATTCTCGGTCGTGGGGGTAGATGGATAGATGGATGGGTGGTCTTGGGCCGCATTCCTCGTCGGGGATCGTTCCGGCTCGTTAGCGCTGGAATCCACCACCACCCAGTGCCTTGGCCGCCTCCGTCTCGCATGGCTGAAGAGCGTCGTCATCTCAAACTCTCAAGGTTCACAGAGCCATCCATTTAGGGTTTACCCTTCTCCTCCTCCTCCTCCTCCTCATCCGCCTGTTTTCCAGCCCTTGCTCTCAACGGCGGACGGAATGAACGGCCACGCGTAGCTCTCTCACTTTGCTATGCTCTCTTGCTTGCTTGTCATTCATTGTTCGATTCTGGAGGTCAGTGACTGGAGATCTGATAACAGCACGACAATATATCAGTATATAACACATTAAAATATAAAAAAGATAAACGAACAACTAAGTAAATTGTGAATTTTTTGGCAGACAGATTGTCCACGATTTGGATGGTCTTAAAACAAACAACAAACAGTAGATTGAACTTTACATATTCATTTTGTTATCCATAAAACATTCGTGTTCTGTACCATGTTGATTGAAAAACAAAATTGAAAAGTATTAAAAAAATGTAGTTTATGTTGTTTGGCTTCCCTGACGTACATCGAGTCATCATTGTACGCAAAGTGTCAATGTTTGAATGGATTGTTTGAATATTCTCATTAATTACCTGTAGCAACATGAATTAAATAACAATAACAACAAATGTCTCAAATGATTCTTTGACTTTAAGTGCTAAGTAAGCTTAATAATTGAGAATGAAAAAAGTAATAGACAATAATCTGAATAGAACTAACTTCTGATGGAAAGTATATTTTGCAGGTTATAAAACTTTGTGTACAGAAAAGGAGACGACAAATCATGGTTGCAAAAATCGACAAATATCATACATATGTATGAATATGTCCATTTAATAAAAATTAAAAACTATATGCAATCAATTAAGAAGGAAACAGAATGTGCTATAGTATATGTAGACATTGCAAATTATGAAAAATAGAAAACACGAACTAGTTAAATATAAATTCTGGCTATTTACTCTTCAAGACCGGGATTCATTATTACCTGGAGTGTTGTCACCAAATAGTTCGTTAAATGAAGAGCGTTAAGATACGTGCCAGCTTTGCTGTCCGTAAAGAAATGGGCCAATCAGACTTGAACCAATGGCATGTCGTCACGTGGAAAACTCCTTGCGGATATTTTACAGTAACCAGTTGTTGAAAAAGCAGACGAAATTACCTTGCTCCTTCCTTAAGCCAGGGTTACCTATGAATATAGCGGGCCTACTGTTGCAGAATGACGGCAAGGATCATCGCCAGAAGGAGAGGGCCGACTGCCAGAGAGGTCCATTAGTGCAAAGCACGGCCAAAGCCTTCCTATCTTCATGCCGCTGGCAATTGCCCATTTCTAGGGTCTGCACACTTCGTCGGCGATCGTGCTGACATTCCACGTGTATATCAAGCTGGGTGGGCTGGTTTGACGAGTCTCTGCCACCGACGCCCAGCGCTGTTTCCAGCACACATGATTCAAGGCGGGATGCGATTGTACTGCCGTTGGGGAGTAGCAAGATGTGGGAAGAGGTGGGGCCATCCTCTGACAAACTCGCGGTTGGAACTTGTGCTTCTCTTTTTTAAAATGCACATCCAGTCCACACTCCAAACTGCCACGAGTCACCCTCTGCACCCCCCGTCAGTTGCTTAGTGCCAGTTTCAATTCACGACTGAAGCGGTCACCGATCCATGATTTCTCCCAGATAACTTATGTAAACTATTGCTGTGAATCCAGGTCGAGATGAAAGCCTCTCACTGGCAATGACTGTTAGGCAGTAAAAATGTCTACATTCGCTCTCTCTCTTTAAAATCAACCCTATTGTACAATCCGAGCTTACGAATCTCCACGTGTTGACTGGTCTGTTGAGAAGACATTTTCAAGCAAACTTGCTGTGCAACTGACTCGGCAACCTCTCAAGCAAAGGGAAGATCACAAAGGTTTCAAATGGCAGACCAACATGTTCCAGCATGTTGCAGCACAAGAAAGCAAGATTTGGTCTCTTCGCACCTTCATTTTATTACAGTTGCCAATTTGCTTGTGAATGGTTTTAAGAGCATTGAGGGGCTGCAAACGATGGACTGGAAAAAGGACTTGTAAAATTTTGTTAGACAAGGGTAAATGGGAGGCATCATGGTGGTTTAATCATTCTGGGTCATTGGAGTAGGAAGATGTCTTGAAGATTTTTTCTTGGAAAATAGGAGAACCAATGAGACCTAACAATGTGAATGTTTGAAGAATATTCGATTTTGTACCAAAGGAAGAAGAAATAGTCTTGGTTCTTGAAGAATTGTGATAAGAAGAAGAGAATTGGGCAGCTGTGGGACTCTTTCCTGTATTGATCAATATTTTTTTATGATTTTTCATTGCTATGTATGGTTGCATTCTCTAAGGATGTAAAGGTACCCTGATTCCATTATGCTTGGATTAACCGACATCATTTTTATTTTTATTTATTTTTTATAATTTTTTTAAAAAAATCTTGTTCTATTGCTTCTTAATGTGACAAAAATTTCATAACAAGGATAGTTGGAACAATTGCCATGGTATTGATTGCTATAATTTTGATGCCTATTGCAATCAATATTGATCAGGATTGATGATAAACATTCTTTACCACATTGTTGCAAAACAAGAATGAACTTGATGTATTGTCTCTCATTATAATCTGATTTATATGGAACTAATGAATAACTCAATCTAACTTGAGGGATGTAAGAAGATATATCTCCATGTGATATCTCCAACCTACATTACAATTGTAGGAATTTACATAATAGTTGCAGAATATGTTGTAGTTGTAACCTATGTGATAAGGCCAAATTGGCACATCAATAATAAGTGTGACATGAAATTGTTGTGTTATGTTGTTATTGTTGTTGTTGTTTTGTTCTGTTTTGTTTTGTTTTTTTTTTTCATTTTCTTAAATGAAGTGTTATATTTGGTATAATAACCACCAATGTATTTGAAATTTACATGGTTTGAATTTTTTTTGAATTTTTTTCCATAATAGCTTTTATTATAATTATTGTATTTTTTATTTCTCTTTTCTATTTTATTTTTTATATATTATTTTAGAGATTCATTCATAAAATTATTTCATAATAATATTTTATCAAAAAAATAAATTATTGATTGGTGGCATCACTAATACTTAATATGACTTGAATATGTATTAAATTGTTCTTCCAATTTTATTAAAATATTTAAAAATACTACTATAATAATAGTTTTATTTAGAAATATATTTAAAATATATATTTCTTAAAAAAATATATAATTTTATTCTAATATTTATATATATATAGACATATTAAATCTAAATATATAAAAAAGATATTGACATGAATAAATAAAAAATCACTCTTGCCTTTATATATACTATTTAATTAGTAAGCAATGTGACAATATTATATAGATTATCTAATATATATCCAACTTTTGAGATACATATTTAATTTGCAAAGTAAGCTTTCTACATATGTGCCATCAGATCAACTTGTATTACAAGTAGTCAACATGTGTGACATGTCGCCAACTTATAAAACAAGTAGTCAATATGTGCAATATATAGCCAACTTGTTGGCCAAATTTTTAACATATCAATTACTTAAAAATACTTGTAAAATCAAATCCACATCTACAAAGCTTTTAAAAAGTATATCCATAATATATTTTCAAATTCACTTGCTTATACTAATTTATACTTAACTTTTCTAAATAAAATAATTACTAATATAAACATAAATACCAATGATATTCTTCTTGTCTTAGACAAGATTCAAGGATCATGCAAAAATATAACAAGATAACTAGTTATTGTCAAAGACAAGAACTCGATGAAAAAACAATTCAGACAAGTGAGCCTTCACTCCAAGAAAGGTAACAAAAAATATATAAATAAGTATGTATATTGAAAGAGAAACTGGAATGGCTATTATCAAAAGACAAGAAAACTAGAGACCCTTGAAACTAGACTGGAAGCATGAAAGGAGTTGACAAGAGTGAAGAAGCCTTCACTCTTGTCTCTATATATACTATCTAACTAGGGGCTATGTGGCGATGTTCTATAGGACCTCCAATATGTGTTGACTTTGTAGGACACATGCCTTGACTTACAAGGCAAGTTTTTCTACAAGTCGGCCATATAGTTAGCTTGATCTTCAAGCTTACAATATGTGTGGCACATGGCCAACTTTTTGACCACGTTTCTAATCCAAAAAGTCAATTAAAGACACCTATGAAGTCAAAGCAGTGTCTATGCAGCTTCTAAGAAGCTTCCATATTAAATACTATAGAAATAACTCACTTTTATCTACTTTTACTTACTTCCACCTATTTATATATGTAATTACTAGCTTACATGAGTATGTCCGTGACATTACCCGCCTTTCTAGGAACGAGTTCCATGAAGAACGATCATCATATGTTGAGGAAATCTATAATGCGGCAAATTGTATTTGCTACATACTCTGATCTTTGTTCTCTTCGAAGATGATTGATAGGGCCTCTCAACCATCGGTAGTGTCCCATACCAGGGGGGGAAGACCACCCAGTTATTTGATTATTGTTGACGCCTTCTTAACTTCGTTCGAATAGAACATTTGGAATACCATCAGGAGTTGTTCCTACCTCTAGCAAAATCACCAAACATCTGGAGTTCCTTCCCAAATCGTGATGCCAAACGCATTGTAACTCGCCACGTATTCGAGGAAGAACATGTCGTTCTTGAAGATCTTCATCTCGATTATGTCGTCTTGAAGGTTATGACAATCATAATGTCTCGTCTGATAGGTCAGCAAATGAAGGCTCTTGAGTCGAATCCGTTGATTGTTGGTTTTCCATCTCTTGAGCGTCAAAACTACAAAGAAGCTATGAACCAA